GGCGCTGGCGGGAGCTGCTGGCACCGTGCGTGCGCTGGGACGGTCGCTGGCGTGCTGCTATGTACGGCCAGTGACGATTGGACGCTAGCTGGGCTCAACTGGCCACTACCGTGCACGCTGGCAACGGTACTGGCACGCACATGCGCTACCGGGCGCTGCTAGGCGCCGTGGGTAGATGACTGGCACGCGGCTACGCGTGCTGGACTGGTTGGGCGCTCGGGCGTGTTGCCGGGCAACGCCGAGGTCTACTGTGCATCGCTGGCACGCTTCTGGGCGTGCTGGCGTGCGTGGTGACTGGCCAGCATGCGTGGTACGCCGCTGGCGTGCGTACGTTCTTCGCGAAACACACACTGCTGAGCGCGTGACGCATTGCTGTGTACGCGGACTGGGTGGACGGATGCTGCGGTGCGTTGTCGTGCGTGTTGGCGTGCACTGCGCACGTCTACAAGCGTGACTGTGGCATCGCAGGAACTTAACTGCCGAGTACCGGGCACGCGTGCGCGTTACTGGGTGCGCGGACGCTGCCTGCGTACTCGCTGGGCCTTCCGGGCGTACCTGCGCGCGCACCGTGCGCGGTAGGTATCACGGTCGGCATTTCGCCGGCCGTCCGGCTACTTTTTCCGGCAATCCACATATGACTGATCACGTTTTGACTTAATTGACTGAAAATACATAGATTACTCGGGACTTGCCGGTTCTATTTTGAAATCACTCGGGAGGGCTTATATAGCACCTCCGAGGCCATTTTTCTAAAAGAACTTGGACCGAACAACACGACATCGACATGATCTTACTACTATGAACTTAACTATATAAAAAGAAGGTAAATAGGGGTATACCCTTCAACTCGGTCGAGGATTGCACGATGACTTGCGTGCGGTTTCGGTGCTCCTTTAATGTCCTTATGCTTTTCCCTTGCTTCGGCAATACTTAGCTATTTTTGTGTAATTTTCCCACTATTATTTCCTCACTATTTTCTCTCTCGAATATATGCTGAAGGTGGTCAAAATTGATGCATGGAATTGCATGGAAAGGGTGCCCACGCTCGGTTATTTAAGGGACTAAAACCGTGTGGTAAATTTGAGGTCAAGGGAGGTGATAGATGACCACACTTCCCTTGGTTACAAGTGTCCGAAACGTGGCTGATGTGGGGCGTCTTATACCTTAACTTGATTTTTTACTTTAAAATTAAATCCGAACCTTCTTAACTTTCAATAATTAATCCCGATTAATAATGTCCGTTTATAAAATAAACGGTTCGGAAGTTAATTATCGAATTGACTCGGTTAATAATTAACTGGATAAACTTTTCGACTTAACGTCGAACTTATTCGCTGAAAATGAACGGAATCGATAAAAGATAATACATCATTTCTATTAACAAGAAGTTGGGTTATTACAATCTACCCCCCTTAAAATATTCCGTCCTCGGAAATATAAAACAAAGCATATATACATGAAAATATACATATCAAAACTGAAAGTCGGGAAAACGAGCGCGAATGTCAGCCTCCTGCTCCCAAGTGGCTCCGTGGCGATCCCACTGAATACGAACGAGGAGAACATTACGCTTCCGGAGCCGTCAAACTTGTCGGTCCAACACAGCTACCGGTCGCTCCTCGTAAGATAAGTCTGGATGAATTTCAATATCAGTATGAGGAATGACATGATCGGGGCGGCACACGTACTTACGGAACATAGATACATGAAAGACATTGTGAAAACTGGATAGCTCAGGAGGTAAGGCTAAACGATACGCAACATCGCCCACTCGTTCGAGTACTTCGAACGGGCCAATGAACCGAGGGTGCAACTTCCCTCTCTTTCCGAATCGAATAACTCCGCGAAATGGACTAACTCTGAGAAAAGCGTGCTCGCCAACCTCGAACTGAATATCTCGTCGATGATGATCGGCGGTTGATTTCATTCTGCTCTGAGCTGTTCTGAGTCTCTGCCGGATCAACTCGACTTGCTCGGCTGTCTCCTCGATCAGCTTCGGACCGAGTACTCGACGTTCTCCGACGTCGTCCCAATAAAGAGGGGAACGACATTTACGATCGTATAGTGCCTCATAAGGAGCCATCTGAATAGAAGAATGATAACTGTTGTTGTACGCAAACTCTACGTACGGCAATAACGACTCCCATTTAGCACCCCTGCCAACAGTCAAAGCACGTAACATATCCTCCAGCGTCGGTATAGTCCGTTCCGTCTGTCCGTCAGTCTCGGGATGGTAGGCTGAACTGAAGGCTAGCTTCGTACCCATTGCTTCGTGTAAACTCTTCCAGAATCTACTGGTGAATCTGGGGTCTCTGTCTGACACAACAGTAACAGGTACTCCATGGAGTCGAACGATCCCACGGAC